AGTATTCCAGGGGCTGAGCGCATGCGATAGTACGCGAGCAACCTGGGTTTGTATACTGGACATTACAATTAATGTTCATTTGTAATAAACTTTTTAGTTTATCACGGGCTTTGCCCAGCCCCACAATCTACCTACTTCTGGATCCGTCAACACCTAGTTTTAGCCAAGAATAGCCAAAAACATGTAAGTATTAACAGGTAGTTTTAGTTATTGTTCATTAAAAACAATACACAACTGAAATCATATAACTTCTTTTATTTTCATTTGCTTCTACATTTTAGCCGATAGGTTGTGGTCAAACTTAAGTTTAGACGGTTTAGCGTGAAAAGAGATAACACCAACAGTAACATATACATTTAACCAATGTCAACTAAAATACAGGTTAAATTTAGTTTTGATTACCTACAGTTAAATGAATTAATCTATGAAAAATCAGTACTGGGCATTTGTAATTTTGAAAAACCGCTGCAAATATTCAAAGAAAATGAGCGTGATCTGTGTCAACTATTGGTTATGAGACGGTAACATTAAAGGTTTCCCAATAACAATTTAAATCAAAAGTGACTTAAGAGAGACATAGCTTGAAATTACTTGCGAATGGAATTTCGTTTATCAGCTTTATCAAAAACACGGACGTTCCGAAAGATTTTACAAATGGGTGTTCCGGAAGCACTTTGGAAATAATGAACGAAAATTGTGCTCGATAATCATTATTTCAGCCTATGTGATACAGAACGTGCCCCACGACCTTTATCTCAAGATCTCTCACAATTTCGTTCGTTCGATTTGGTGGATAATTTGAGCATGAAATCTGTCGCACGTTTCAAAAACACTGAATTTTCTACAAAACGCCGGACTAGTTCGGGTCAATTTTGTCACATTCATGGAATGTGCTCGACATGCATCAATCATCGAAACGTAGAAAATAAAATCAGCCAAGTGCGAGTCGTACTCACGCATGAAGGGAACCTTTACGTACCATCGAACAAAATTTAATAGACTTAAACTCGTTCATGTTCCTGTAGGAGTCCCCTTTAGTTTTTAATTTATTTTAATTTTTATTATTTGTTTTCATAACGACAACAGAACTGTGAAACACATTCTGTGAAAATTTCAACTGTCTACCTATTACGGATCATGAGATACAAGTCCGCTGATAGACAGACGGACGGACAGCGAAGGCTTAATAATAGAGTCCCGTTGGTTACCCTTCGTACATCATCATCATTACAGCCTTTCATAAGTCCACTGCTGAACATAGGCCTCCCCCAAGGAATGCCACAAAGCACGGTCCTGAGCCACCTGCATCCATCGACTTCCTGCATGTCTTACTAGGGCGTCACTCCATTTCGTGGGGGGTCGCCCTACACTTCGCCTACCGGTATGACGCTGCCACTCGAGAACCTTTCTTCCCCATCGGTTGTCGGTTCTTCGAGCTATATGGCCGGCCCACTATGGCCACTTTAGCTTACTAATCCGTTATTCGTTTCCGTAATCCGTTATTCCGCTATTTCGGTCTGGTTCTACTGCGGATATCCTCATTTCTAAGTTTATCATGCAGAGAAACTCCGAGCATAGCCCTCTCCATAGCTCGCTGAGCGACCTTGAGCTTCCTCATACGGCCAGCAGTGAAGGACCACGTCTCAGATCCGTAAGTCATCACTGGCAACACGCACTGGTTGTATAATTTCGTTTTAAGGTTTTGAGGAATGTCTGACGAGAAGATGTATCGTAGTTTCGCGAACGCTGACCAGCCGAGTTGAATCCGTCGATTGACCTCTCGGTCGAAGTTGGACTTACCTAGTCGGACTATTTGTCTCAGGTAAACATACTCGTCAACAACTTCGAGCTTGGGAGCACTACTCCCAACAACTACCGGCATAGGTGTGGTGACATGGACATTAAACATGATCTTTGTTTTGTCCATGTTCATCCTAAGACCTATTCTTAGACCTATGCTTAGGTCCTCCAGCGATTCTGCCATTAGGACTATATCATCGGCAAATCGAAGGTGAGTGATGTACTCGCCATTGATGTTAATATCGTATCAATTCCAGTCTAGAAGCTTGAAAACGTCTTCCAATGCAGCGGTGAAGAGTTTCGGGGATATAATGTCACCCTGTCTTACACCTCTCTGCAGTTGGATAGGTTTCGTACTCTGGTTCTGTACTCGGATAGCCATCGTAGCTCTACTGTACGAACACTTCAGCAATTCGATATACCGACAGTCCTTCATGGGAGGGGGGGGGGGGGGTTATTTGCCATAGTTGCCACGCTTGGCGAGCGGGTTGGCAACCGCACTTTTTTTTATTGTAATTTCGGCTACTATCAGGAAGATGCTGCTGCCCATCTCCTGCCTGTTTCCCTTTGTCGCATTTAACGACACCCACGGGAAGATATGGGGTAGTGGATATTCTTGACCGCCACTACACGGCTTCGTACGGAACCCTGAAAATGAGCCAAAACAAAAAAAAAGTTTAAGCCGCTTAAAACTCAAGGTGATAAATATTTGTGGTTTGTTCCACCGACAATTCGTTTCGGCAGGACAGCCGAAAACGTCATGCGTGAGAAAATCCGTCAAATACGACATTCGTGGATAATTTTTTTATTGCACGATTATAACGCGATATTGAACAGAATCGCAACAGTATCCGAATTCGAGGCGAGAATCGTGACTACTGTCATCGACACATACCTATTACCTACTATAAAACTTAAAGCCATCGCCCAGCTTTATAGCTACCGCGACAAAAAGCCTTTACTAGTTACCTATTAAAAACTTTTTTTAAACTGACTAAAATCTTAATTATCGTAAAATATAATACACTAGCTTCTATTTCAAGCAAGTCTATTAAGTACATTTTCTTTTTAGCCTATTTCAAAAAAGGAGGAGGTCCTCAATTCTACTGTACATTTTTTATGTATGTTAAGTGATATATTCGTCAATTGTAAACCGATTTTGAAGTTTTTGTTTGTTTATAATGTAAAAGGTTGTCCCATATAAATTTAAAGAAAAAATTCTATTCGTGAGAGTGGCAAAATAGAGGATGAAGTTTTGTACGTAACTATAGTTAGACGACATTTATATTATGATATTCGTTTGTCCACTCAAAAAGAGACAGAAAACTTTAATGAACTAAAAATAATAAAATAATTTCACATCCTGAAGTCAGTGCTAAGACATAATGTATAGAAGATTAAAAGCCTAAAGATACTTATCTATATCTATACAAATAAATAAAATTGAAGGGTCTGTTTGTAATATTAAAATGACTGCTTTTTATTAAATGCATATGAAAGTAATATACGGTACTTATAACAAAAAAACAATTTTTTAAATTTTTGTCTGTCCGTCTGTTTGTTCCGGCTAATCTCTGAAACGGCTGGACCAATTTTGACGGGACTTTCACTGTCAGATGGCTGATGTTATAAGAAGTAACTTAGGATATTTTATTTTAGAAACAGAATTAGGGTTCCGCGCAAACAAAATAAAACCCATGAAATCGTAGTAAATTCCACGCGGGCGAAGTCCGAGGTAAGAGCTAATACTTGAATAAAACTACTTTTACGGATTCTATCGCGTTTAATTACTTTTTAAATTCCCGTCACGGGGGACTAAGGTGACTGACGTCCCGATGTCAGAGTTAACCCGGAGTACCTTCAGCCTTTTTAATTACTAGTTTTGGTCCGATCTACGCAGCATGAACTAACTGTGTCTTGAAGTTTTGCAGTGGTATGCTTGGGTTTAGTTTTAATTTTATTAATTACAGGATCCCAAGAAGGTGGTAGGTAATACCCCTCCCTCTCTATTCAAATTAGGATGTTTTTTTTTTAATTTCAATAGCCTCACATATCATCCTTGGCAGGAATCGATGTTCTTTCGCGAGAATTTGTGATCTATCAAAATGGCGGGGACCGTCTAGGATATGATCACATACTGTGGACTTCGGGACTGTCGGGAATTTAAAAATAAGTTAATTAAACGCGATAGAATTCGTAAAAGTAATTTAATTCAATGTGTAGTGTTCGCGTAAATATAAGAAATTATTATTATACCTATACTTTTTATCAAAAAAAATTAAGCAAAAATTGTGTGCTACTGAATTTAAATTTACTATTATTTTTTTATATTATAAAAAGAGAAGCGAACATGGTACAATAAATCACCAATTAATAGAAGCCCGCACCGTTTTATATCTATTTAAAGTAAGAGTTAATTATTTCAATTAAAAGTATATAAACTATATTCTCTTCAACTATTTTCTAATAATTTCTCAGGTCTCAACTAACAAAGAACAAAAGTCAATTAAAAGATGTTTACCGTTTTCTTCTATTTTTTATAATATGCTATTGCAAGCACAGACGGACAAATGCAACCAACTTCAAAAAATAGATTAAATATTATGGGTTTCCATATTTGTGTAATAACAAATAATGGCTCACAGCATGCAATCTTACTAGTTGTCTATTACTTTCAGTCCAGATCATAACTACACTTCTGCTTAGAGGCAAACATTGGTAAGAGGATTGTATCCACCCGACCTAAGCAAAAAAGAGACCTAAATCTAGATAGTCATTTTCATCTTCAATCAATTTAAATTATAATTATATTAATTATTGAATAATAATATTTTTAATCTATATTATTTTGCATATTTTATTTGAAATTATCTTAATGTTACCTATATGGTCTATAAAATAGTTTGAATAGTTCATTGTGCCTCTACGCAAGGCAATTAAAAACTGCATAACAAACTTGTCTTGGAGTTAAAGCATTTAACTGATAACATACTGTATTGTAGGTATATTATATCTGAAAAATTGAAAATTGCCTTCTTAATTTTTTTTATTGGCAGTTAATAAAACAACGAAAACTTTCAACCTCTTATCTCAAATCACTTCAAACATGCATAATGAATAGTATCACTAAATTATTAGCGGGTGAACATAACATTTTCCTCATTTTCACATAGGTACAATTTTACATATTTCGAACGCACCACGAGTGTGATGGAGAAGACGCGTCTCTCGAGCGGCAGTATGCGCGCGCCGCACCACACCGCCATTGCGGGACTGGCTGCGCTCGTGCAGGCGTCACGCTACAGCGGCTATCAGATGTCGGTGGATATGGTAGACGGGAAAATGTTTCAGATGTGATCTACTAGGTTATCTCATGAATAGTACAGCAATGTACATAATGAGCTCAAAAGCACCTGCAGTGTACCAAAACACGTGAAAATTAAACGTAAACTGTATAATCTGAATTTCCTTTTCAGTTGCCAATGTTCAACTTTACGTCGATCACGGTGAAACAAAACAAAGAAGATAAATATGTGACATGAATGCTTGAAATGCATAATGAAAAATCTAAACTTAATCATCAGTTGATCGTAAAATATCACTTGATATGACGATGAGTTGATGAGCTTACGAGTATTCACAAGTTGTCACCGTGGCGGAGAATCGACCAGTAGGATCATTAAATAATACGAGGATAGATGCTTTCTTAGACCTTGTATGTAAATAAGATGAAAATGACCATACGTTTTTATCCGACCAGCAAAATAAGGTAAACGTTATGGTGTAATTGCATAATTTGTGATATTGATCGTGAAGTATTAACGAGCACCGACCGATCTTATACAAACAAGCAATAATAAAGGAGCGGTTACGTATTACGTATAATGCACTTCTTGCTGCTTCTATAACACACAATAAATCAACGTCGGCATAACGTATCGCGTGAACATACGCGGTTTTATTAGCATTCGATAAAAAAGCGAGAAGCAACAGCCCAATACTTATTACTTAGGTTACGGTAACGATGCTTTATCTTTCCATATTGCAAGATTAAGTTTTCGGTGCAGTAATTATGGTCGGCGTTTACTAGTCGCGCTATAAAATTTACACCTTGGAGGTTTGGTCATTATGTGATAAAGCTGAGATAACTGTATCGGCTACGGGTAGTACCGTCACAGATGTATAACGTCTGGTGGCAATCACTAGTAGTGGACTGCCTACAGGCTGCTGAAAAATTAAGCAATAAAACTCGTATTAAAGAATCTATTGAAGCGGAACTAAAATTACAAAGTTCGCCAAAGGTTTGTCTACCGGAAAGAGTCAACTACCAAGTTGAAGATTGACGGCGGCAGCGTTATTTCTGGGCGACCGAAGATTTTGAGTTCTATAGACAGCTCTCCACAGCTTCATTGTAGACACACGCAAGTGTAATGAATGATCTAAGATCAAATCCTATTCGAAACGATTTAGTTATATTCCGGACGTCAGTCGGAGCGAATTTTATTGGTGTGGATATTCATTACGGCAGTTACAGTAGAGCTTGTGAAAGCGGACGGAGAACTTGTAGTTATACTTATAGTTAGTTATTGAGAAGGTGTTTAACTCTTTCCCTTAAATTAGCACTACGCCGGAGGTGTGGAGCAGAAGTTTGATGGTCCTGGTTACCAAGAAAGGCGACGACGCCCTATTAAACAACTGTAAACAATTTATCCTTCCGAGCCGCGTATGCAAGCTATTATCAAGAGTCGTTACAAATCGTTTCGTGCACCGAATGATTTCCACTTCCTTGAATAAGCCGGTTAACCCTTTGGCAAACTGTACAGAAGACTGAAGAAGAGTGCATCTGCTACTGTCTCTGCAGCGCAGCGGCGGGGTTGATTTACTGTGGGTATGTAAGAGTGTTGAATTAAATGTGAAAATTGAAATATATGTATAGTAAGATTATGAAGTTAATTCGAGTAAGGAACAAGAGTACAAAAGTTTTGTATTCTTTTACAAAACCAATCCAACTGCAGGAATAGATCACATACTGTATGGATACTTAAACAATCTAACTTTAGAAGGAGTGAAATCATGTCAGTTCTATTATGAAAAATGCCAGTAAAATTGTGTACTTTTTTATCTTCAGGTACAAAATCTGTAAGCAATTGAAGCAGCATTTATATCGAATCTGGCTTCTCTATCAACAATAGCTTCGATAAATGCAATTATACATCCATATATCAACTTTCATGTTACACATTTTGTTCACGCCCACCTGAACTCATTGGTACATTACTCCTTAAGAAATATAGCAAAGTATCGGTTACCAAAACGGCTAGTCCAACGTTTCAAATCTCGTATCTGCCTACTTATTACAGCAGATTCAAGCAGAATGAATGGCATCTCTAAAGAAAAAATAATGAGTATCATTACTGGATGTTAATTTGCTGTTAGAAAGTATGAGAGATGACTTTGAGTTATCTTAAGAATCTCATCGGAGGCAAATTGCGTACAGATTGACAGCCACGACAAATCTCTTATTAAGGGCCGCCGCTAAAACACTGCAGCCTATAAATTAACGTCGCGATACCGTTAACTGTTATAAGTGAAAAAAGTATGAAATCAATTGCGTATCTAAAATAAAATCAGGCCCTTGTTCTTTTTAGGGCACGTTGATGACCTGCATTGTGGTGCTGTATATTAAAAAAAAAATAACAAAATCGGCCCAGCTGAGAATCAATTTGTAAGCTGAAATCGAACATGGTGTTCAATTTGTTACTGTACTAAAATTTAATTACTTCTAACTTTGAAAGTACAAAGTACAAAATTAATTAAAAAATAATTCGCTTGCTTTCTTCAAAGTTTAAAAACAAGAAATACAGTATCACAAATCTTATAAGGACTCTTATAAGATTTTTGATACTCGTATTATTTTATACGGCTTATTTTAATTAACTAAAGTCTTGGCCAAAATCTTGTCTTAAATTGTCTTTTCATATATTTTTGCATGAAAGTTCTAAAATTAAAATTGATTAAAACTATAAAAAATTACAACAAAATATTTTAGAATGTAAGAGTAAAAGCAAAGTAACAACCCATACACGTTCCACTACTGAGAATTAATCCTGTAATTTTAATGTTAATATTTTAGTTAAAAAAAAATCTCTTAACTGCTCGAAAAAGTTGACACAATTATAGATAATACAAATTAACGCACAAAATGTACACTGTTAAACAATTGATTAATTATCCGATTATTCGGTAAGTCTTACCAATTGGTGTGTTGGTTGTTACTGGAATGGTGACATTTAATTCTGAAATGACAAACGAACTTACAGCCAAATTCAAACAAGAAGGGCTACATATGCTTTATCAATTGTGGACTAAGATGAAATGCCTGCAATTATACCGCACACAGCAGTGGAAGCCCTGCCATTTGGCGACCGAAATAGGTAACCTACGTAAGAAAAATAGTCTTGTAATCTGATTGGCTGTTGACTCCATGTTATTATATTCTCAAGGTAAACTAATGGGAAGCACGTACAGAGCTAGCCTAAGTAACCCTTATCTATCAAACCATCTGCGAGTTTCTCTATTGTATATTAGCTTTCTGTACATAGTGAATCCTTGTCAACAGATTTGTCGTTAATACGCCAAAAAACAAAAGAGTACAACGTTCACCAGATAATCATAATACGCAGAAACAAAACGCACTCTTGTACGTTGCACGAGAAGAGTAACGTACAAGAGTGATCTATAAAACGGGAAGATTGTACAGATTTTGGTTTATTTGATTACTAGCTGACCCGGTGAACTTCGTACTGCCTAACAGTCGATTCTTTAATTTTTTTAATACTTATTCTGCTATTCGGGAAACCGGGACAGCTAGTAAGATAAAAAAAAATGAAAATTAATAGGTCAACAATTACATTATGTCAAAAAATAAAAATTATAAAACACTATTCACAAATATTAACATTAATATTTATACGCTACAAACGTCACTCAATTGTTTTGCCTTCCCGGAACCCCTCCACTAAGACTTAAACTTTATGGTATGGTATTAAAATTCATATTGACTTTTAAGTATTATTACGAATCTTTTGTATGGGAATATAAAAAAGTGTCGTTTTTAGACGTTTTCAGGCAATTTTTTAAATTTTTCTCTCCGTAAGAACCATCTTCGTACTTCAAGGAATATTATAAAAAAAGAATTAGCGAAATCGGTTCAGCTGCTCTCGAGATTTGCGCTTAGCAACAAATTCAGCGATTCATTTTTATATTATAGAAGATATTGATTGTTAATTACTATAAGTAAACATAACTAACAGGGCGAATACGTTCTCGATGCCTTCGTTTGATGAATAATTACAAAACCAATCACATTTCAAATTGCATTAACCAAGCTCATACTAACTTATTTTAAAGTATTAACGATAATTCGTTTTGTTCTACGGACCTACCGCCCACCCGGCCTCAAACTCGCTCACAAGAAACGCTTTGTCATCGCCAGACGACGTGATTTTTTCAAATGGAACAAAGTCACGGTTTATCTCTGAACGTTGGCCAGTTGGTCGTGGCGTTTATATTACTTTTTGTGGAAAAAAAAGAGTTGTGCTACAAACTGTATTTTTTTTAATTTGTACTGGCACCATATTAGAAGAGTTTTTTTTTCTAAGTGGTAGAGTAACGCTGCAGCGTTTTACTAATATCGTTGCAGGAGGAATGGGGATCACGCTTGCACACAATACCAGCGTGAGTGGTACCTTTAACCGGTAACACAGCTTTACATCTTAGATACTCCTCAGATTCTAAATTGAGGACAGATGTATCTATGGGCCACAACATCAACATTTTGGATGTTGATAATATGTAGAGTGCTTATCAAACAAGTTTTTATCACTCATTCATCATACTCATCATACACCAAAAAATATATCTAAGCTTTTATATTGCACTTCACGGATGGCCAGCTTGCACATTGTGTAGAGAAACACCAAAACCAAAAGCATGTTAAATAACCCACGAAAGTGATTAACCTAAATAGTTCGATTAAAGAACCCTTTACATCAATTAATAGCAATATATGGATAGCTAGATAGCTAATCATGGATCGTTTGCTAATTTACAAGATCGCATAAGTATGACAAGTAGGGTTGTAATGAATTTATTAAAATATTACATACAGGAAATGTAAAAAATAAAACATTATTTATGTGATTCGAAGAATTTGCACTAAAATAATTATTTATCCCATATACCACACTAAAATAATTTGTATAAA